GTAAAAAGGGCCAATTCAACCTCCACTTTAGGATGAAGACGAAAGTAGTTTGATTTGCTGAAGGTGCTGGCAAACACATGCAACCTCCTGGTGAAAATGAACTCTGATCGGACTCAGTTGTGGCTAGTAAATCACAGTGTAGCAGTCGTTTTTAGTCCGACATTCACATGACACTAACAACGAACTAGATTACTGAGGGTGTGTGCTACTTCGATACTTTGAACCTCCTCATGAAACACGGTTTTGTGGGAGGACGATTCCGAGACCCCAGAATGTTTCAACTGAGGGCAGTTTGACAAGCTCAACGATCCCCAGCTGCCGCATTCTTCTGAAACACCAAAACACATCATCTGTTTGATGCATTCGAGTTCTCTAACCAACAGAAACAGAAAATGCGTGATTCGAGTTGTATGCAACTGAAGTCAATGTGGGATTGAAGTCGTGGTGATGGCGGTGAGAACACGAAGGGCAAGGTCACGTGGAAAGACGGTCGCATCTTATCGGCACGGTGGTGGTGGTTTCCACATGGGTAGGGCGAGGCAGGTAGCCGATGGCGGAGCATCGACCGTAGGTGTTCGCAGCCCGAAGCTTTCGGCACGTCAAACCCGCGCAACAGGATCTGTGGTTCCATCCACCGCATGTCTGGTTCATCGCGACACAGACATGCGTACTTGAATTGCAGAGTGGGCGAGGCAGTACGGCATTGAATCATTCGACAATGACTTGTGATCGCCTGATGGCTCTGATTTTGTGGAAAGTGTGGGGCCTTGTATGCTGCCAGTTAGGTGTGTGTTAACTTATAATAGGAAATGCAAAGTAACACTAAAGCATCGATTAGCTAATGAAGGCGCTTAAAAGCGTTTGATCATTTCAAATACGGATCAGTGTAGCCTTCTTTTTGTAAACGCCTCCTGTGCGAATGTGACCTAACCCCTTAAAGTACCACCACGGAAACACGGTGATGACCCTACAGCCTGTTGACGTGAACTTGCGCCAGCATCAGAAATCTAGAGACTTTGAATCTGACATTTTACGAGGCTTAAAAACGGGGACAGTGATTTCGTAGAGGGTACATCAGGTCGCCGAATTGTTAGTTATGGAATGGGAGATGTGCACGAAAATGCTATTTTGTGTGTTTACTTGACAAAGGGGACGCCAAAATCTTGCTCGATTTGTCACGTGCAAGAAAAATTGTGAATCGACCGTCTGACGATAATGCGATTGGTCAGGAGGGACATTCTCCGAATCGTGATTGGTCAGCACTCGCTGTGTTGCGAGGTTCTCGAGTGGAGAATTTGAGTCCACTTGGCAGCGACATGTGACTGGATTGTTTTAGAGAAGAAAAATCAGTACAATTCAAAAGTTCACTATTTCTGCTGAGACCACTGATCATTGACGAACAAGCACACTTTACCACAAATTGCGTGGTCGGTTAAAGCATTCGCGGACACTGCTGGGTTGTCATTGGCAGAAGCACTTGTGGGATTGCACTTCATTCCACGCATTAACTAGCAGCTCCCGTTTGGGGCCCCGGGATGTGGTCTTGAACCACACCGCGACTCCCGCGTTGTGCTGTGTCCGACTACGCTACACAGATACCCCCAAAGAGACTAGGAAGCCCGAATATGGCCGAGAAGCATTAGTTGATTCGATGGATCAACCAGTTTGTGTGAGTGTGTCGCGCTGCTGCTGCACGCCGCTGATCGACACTGATTTGGTGTGGTTGCAAATGGACAAGTGACTGAATGGTCTAGGTAAATGGAATGGGTAGGGGAGGGTGTGGGGGAGTTACATGCACAGGGGCGAATGAACAGGCGACCCCGCTTGAGCGGTGGAGACGTGGTGATAGGGTGGGCGTTTGGTGGACGTGAATCAACACGATCCCTCTGCATCCCCCAATCCAAGATGGCCACTGCACTCCTTAAGTATTATAGCCCTGAAATATACATCTAACCTCGTTTTCTTTAATATCTGTGAATGCAGAGTGAGTAGTTAATTGGGTGCATTTGAGTAGGTCGATGGCAGCAACAATCACGACATTTCCACAACTCATTTAAATTGGGCGTCGACGAATTTCAGAGCGTGATTTGCCTTTTTTGCTTTAAATACCATGAGGGTGACAGTTTGCTCAAACACCAGAGACGATTGAATTTGAGCAGAGCATGTGCGAATCGCGGAATCCCTCGTCATCAACCCACCAGTATTAAGTGTCTGATTGGTGTGTTAGTAACCTCGAAACTAGGCCGAATCCATGGCAGAATGGGTTTAACCAACCATTTCGTCGACCCAATTTTAAACGGCGAAAATGTTTTCTTGACAAATCCTTCTTATCCCTGATAGACGCGCAAGGTCGGTCATGAAGGATCATTCATGATACCACGTAAACGCACTGTACACACCCATTAAGCAAGTTCTAATGTGTGTGGGCGGTGATAACACCACACCCAGATGATCGATTTGATGGAACCGCATATATATAAACACCCTGCACAGCACCATCGGGACATGGACAGATACGCGACCATGAAAGTCTGCCTCACACTCACCGTCCTCCTCCTG